TCTCTTGATTTACAAGGGAACTGGAATGTGGAATCTTTAAAGGGCGCGACTTCTGGTTTAGGGGATTGTTTGTTGCAAAATTCAAACATATCCAGTGTCTTTATTTAGATCTTTATTTCCAAGAAAACACTCGGTTTCGAGCGAGGAAAATATAAAAATAAAAATTAAAAAAAAAAGCCTGGGAAAAGGCTGATTTACAGGCACCCCTTGGTTTTCCCTTGTTATAATTTAAACGAGAGGTAACCTTTCAGGGGAGGCCCGTCCTATGGTATCTAAACAAAACGCGGTCGAGAACCGCAGTTGACCCCGGGGCAGCCAGAGTGCCCGATGCAGCAACGGACGGGAATCTGATCGCGCAGAACCCGGCCTGAGCGCGGGGTTGTTGGAGGTCACGCTCGACGGTAACAAAATTAAGAGATTGCGCCACTTCCTTGGAGACCTCTGAGAATGAGAGAGAGCCTCCGGCCGGTCCCCTGGGAAGATTTCACAGCGAAATGGGAAAAAGAACAGAGTGGTGTGTCAGAGAAGCCGGCCGGGAGCCCCCCAGCCAGCGTCCACCCTTCTCTCACGGTTTGGACTGTCCGTTGTTCCTTAGCTGTTTCCTTTAGGACGGCGTCTCGTCGAAACACGGAGCGGTGCTGGGGATGTCAGTTACCCAGCAATGGGTTCATTCAGCCTTTGCCAAGCACTGGACTTTTTTGGGGGGGGGTTGGTTCCGATTTTATTATGCAAGTGAGTAGAACTCAGGAGCTCAGTTTGGTGGGGGAAACAGAGAAACCCAGGACCCGCTGGGAGCACCTGGGCGGGCGCCTCATCCAGGCGGACGAAAGCGGGAGGCAGGAGTGTGCCAGGCCCAGTAGCGAGAGGCGCGGGCTGCCGACGAGTTCTCAGCCGTGGGCGCAGGGGGAGCCTCGAAGGCTGGCCCGGAGAGCCCAGGCCTCACCTGGGGCCGTGTGGAGCCCTCGAAGGGCTTTGCCGCATTTACAGGTCACCTGTTTCACTCCTTTCGAAGCTTAACGTTCTGGCATCTTTGTGCATGGGATTAACCGGTTCCTGCATCTGCCCCCACCCCCCAGTGTGCAGCTTATGGGTTGAATTCAGGTGGTAACGACAGGACCGGCTTTTGTCTCAGGCGGTCAGTCCAAGGGAATCGCTGGAGTCTGTAACAGACGTGAAACGAGCGCAAATGCATCTTCAAATGTTCGCTGCTGGGTATCCTGGTACAGCCTGTAGAGACGTAGGTCACTCCCTGCGCGTGTCCAGGCACTTGCGAAACTGGGGGTACGGATTCCTTCTTAGGGCTTGTGTGGATGTGAAGAGGAAATGACGTCAGCAGACGTGCGGGGCTTTTTCTCACAGTGAATACTCTGTTCATTTAGACAAAAAGATCGGTTCTCCATTCAGATCGAAATATTCTAATTTAAGGCCGAGATCCGCGGTGTCGTAATCTCCATGGAAACAAAGCTCTGCACTGTGGACAGTAACTCGTGTCCCCCCCGTAGACGTGCCCGGGGAAGGCGCCGATGCTCCGTCTCCCGTGTTTTCCTCAAAACTCTCTCCCCGCAGAAGAGACTTCAGCCGGCGACCTCGGTTTACACGCTTGGTAAAAACGTAAACTACCTGTTCCGATTCCCTGCTTTTAAACCCTTCTCATAAGGCTGTGAAAACGTAAACGTCGTGGACGGGTTCACTCTCTTTCCTTGTTGGGCTCCGATGCAGAAGGTCACGCCCTTCTCCGATCCTAGGTGTTGGTGTCATCTGCTTGTGCCGGGCTGTCCCCGGTCGGGTGGCCTGTGTCACTTTTTATATGTTAGGGATCTGCGTCCTCGGTCGCCTGCGTGTCCTGCAAACACCCCTCTCCGGTTCTGCGGCTCGCCCAGTCCTTCGCTCACTCCAGGGTCCTTTGCCACGAGAGACGTTGGCTGGGGAACCGTAAATGCATATTAATAACTAAGGGCTCCAGCTCTGTGACATTCCGCAAGAGGCAAAACTGTGGAGACGGCAAAAGGACCCGTGGCTGCCAGGGGTGGGGGCCGGGGAGGGATGAGTTCCAGGGGAGCTTCAGGGTGGCGACAATACTCTGCGTGACAACCTAGGGAGGGACACGTGCTCATTCGTTTGACATTTGTCCAGACCGAGAGCGAGTCCTCACGTAAAATGTGGATTTGAAAGTGATTTCGATGTGTCAGGATGTAAAAAAAAAAAAAATTAAAAAAAAAAAGTACCGTCCTGCTGAGCGATGCTGGTGACGGGGGAAGGCCCGGCACGCGGGGGGTGCCAGGGAAGTCTCCGTGCCTCCGTCTCGACTTGGTCGTAAGCCTCAGGCTGCTCTTTGAACAGCTCATTGGATCCAGACACCATTTCTCTTTTTGCCCAGCACTGTCGGTTTTGGGGGGAAAAAGCCCCGGGGTGGTTTTGCCCTAGCCCTTGACTCAAGTTTGTCGTTCAGTTAGGGTCCCAGGTAAAAGGCTCCTTGTAAATATTTGCTGTTTAAACGGACTGAAGGGAAAGCTGGAAACAGGTAGGACAGTGGGCCTGGGCGTGTGCAGCGCTGGGCCTGCTCCAGAAGGACCAGGGAAGGCGGCCAGAAGCTTTGCCTCGGAGCAGGTCTTGGCGCCATCTGGTGAGTGGATCTGGAAAGGAGCAGGCCCACCCGCACTGGCTGCCGTCGGGATGCCCCCGTTCATCTCCCTCCGCCCCAGAGTGTCAGAGCTGGGGTCTGATTTGAGCAAGTCTCAATCACTCTGCCCCCGGAGCACCCCCCAAATCCATCTCCTCACCTCCACGGACACTGCCAGGCCCAGCTGCTCCCCTCTCTCGCTTGGACTTCCCTGGAAGCTTCCTTCCAGGTATCCTGGCCTCTCTTCTCACCCCCCCCCCACTGTCC